CTGCGACGAAGGGTCGTAGAGACCAACTCCTGCGTGACGCGGCCGGGAGGGTCCCGCGCTGCCCCCGTGCGGTGCCGGACCGATCGCGCCCGACAACGTAATGGGTTGCCTATTCGACTGGAGGAAGGCAACGCGGAGGAGTTCATCCCGGCCTATGAGCAGTATATGCACGATCAGGGGACCGGGCAAAAGGAGTGGATGCAGGCGTTGCCCCTCTGGACGCGAAGGGCGGAGAGGCCGCTGGCGAGACAGATTCGGGACAAGGCGCATGATTAGGAGGACTGCCAGGCTCAGCTGAGACAGGCGTTTCGACGACCAGAGCCAGAGAGACCAGAGCCTAGAGTGGAAAGACGGCAAAGGAGTAAGAGGCCACGAGACCCAGAGATGAGAGGGGTCATGACAACTAGGGGGGGCCGAAAGGCTTTGGCACAGCGAGAGGAGCCAGTGGAGGCAGTTCGGAAGGCGGAGCCAGCGCAGGCAGCGGAGTCAGCTCAGGTAGCAGAGCTACCCCCTACCCATGGGCTTGAGCAGGTGGAGTTTCGCCGGATCAAGGGTAGTGATCTACAGGGCCCATCGTCGACACTGCCAGAGGAGAGGGAGGTTGTACCATTGAGGACGCCGCTTGACAGTCTGGAGACCCATCTCGATGCATCCCAATGGGGGGCTTCGCAGCTGGAGGCGGACCCAGACAAGCCGGCACGATACGAGCCAGCAGACGAGCCATCAGGCCCTGAGCTGGAAGTCGAGCCGCACGAGCCAGGGAAGCTGCGGGCAGAGGAGGTTATTACCGTTAGGGATAATACCCCTCCTCCCACCCCAATCCCAGAGCAGGTGTGGGAGTACTGGCCTCAGGGGATTCCTGAGCCGGATAGCGAGGAGATTCCGGCACAACAATCGGAAACTATTACACCACCTCTAAAGCAGGCAGAGGCAGAGGAGCAAGAGGAGATCGAGGGGGCGAGGACACATACGGTTGTGGTACCACAGCTAGCCGAGCCTGCGGCTGAGCATTTGGATGTTGAGATGCCAACATTCGAGGGGCCACCGCCAGAGTTCCCACCTGCAGGAGAAGGGGTGAGTGTGGGAGTTCCATTACGAGAGGCCCACGAGACGCGAGCGGAGAGGCCGTCAAGGGAGACGACTGAGGAGAAGTTCGCGAGAGTGCAGGTGCGCCTCGAGGAGATATACTAGGAGAGAGTTAGGATGGAGGCCGCAGGGGAAGTGCCAAAGCTACCAATCGACCCCCCGACGAGTGAGCAGAGGATTGGTGAGGAGTGGGTCAGTTACGAGGGTAAGAGGGATGCTGCCCGTTTGAGGTCGCGAGAGGCAGGGCAGGAGGACGAGAGGGCGGATGAGGCACGAGAGACTGGGGACTTGGGATTTTCAGCCGCCAGGATGGCAATCGAGCGTACAGACAGGAGGATACACCAGGTGGGGACCACGTCCTTCCAGCGATATACTATGCTTAGAGACGAGTTGGCGGCCTCGACGATGGAGGTGGAGCAACTGTCTGTTCAACTAGTAGAAGAGAGGGCGAAAAACCAAGCCTGGAGGTCTCGCATGGAAGCCAGGGAAGCTGAGTGGGAGAGGAGGCTCCAGGATATGGCGGCGGTTGTGGAGAGGCTCTCGACCACCAAGGTGGTCGACTGGACAGAGCAAAGTCGGTATGGTATCCAAGGAGAGGAGGTGCGGGGACTCTTTGGCCAAGGGGGGACGACAGGGCCACCTCAGCAAGAGGGGATGAAGAAGGTATTCCTGGACCCAACGAAAACGAAAGCAAGGCGGAAGGCCGAGGAGGGGAGTTTCAGCTTCAAGGCTCCCACAAAGTTGGCCTCGCAACAGGCCACCCCTATAACGATTGAGACCCCTGCAAGTGAGCCAGCGCAAAGACCCCAATCCCCACTAGTGGAAGGGGGTCCCGCAGAGGAGTCCCCTGCGATTCTTTTGGAGGTGCGAGGAGGTACCTTTACGGGGGCAGTGGCGTCCGCTGAGCCAGAGGCAATGGAGGAGGAGGCATCTCATTTGGACGAGCTAGTGGCGGCCATGAAACTGGATATACCATCAGGAGGGTCTCAGGGACGCAAGACCCCGGAGCGTGTGCCAAAAATGGGGGAGTTGAAGACACGATTGGGCTCTTGGGCCACAGAGGCTGACTCAGGGGGATGGGCCTCAGAGCAGCAGCAGGAGGTTATGAGTGGGCCAGCGGCAGCCGTGACTCCTCAGCCATCAGAGCCACATGGGGACGAGGGGGCGACTAGGACGGAAGAGGTTCACGAGGGTAGGCCGCAGAGATTGGATACTCCTGAGTACAGGCCTGAGGGGCAGCGTTGTCACGCGGGGATCCCCGGGGCCCAAGCCGGGGTAGGGGTTTCAACCCCGGAACCCCGCCGCGGGGCTACCCGACCCCCGCCCCCGCAAAAACAACCCCGGCCCTGCCCCAACCC